GTGTCAAGCTTACTGCAACACTCTGCTGTAAGAGTATAACCAGGAAGCGAGGTAGGAGGGCAAAATAGGTTTAGCGCCACCGCAGCACGGGAGGGAGAATTACGCCCAGGAGCAAATGGATAAAAATAGACCGGAAAAAAACATGAATCGATTCTCTTGCAGACGTGTCGATGCATCGGATCGTTGGCTGTTGGATCGATGCATCGGCACAAAACGGTTATTATTTACACCCCTACTAGGAACCCCGTTCAACAGCAGCCTATGGCCCGGTTGCCTCTTCGCAGTTTGCCACTACTGTTTTTCAGCGGCTGGAAGGCATAATCCAAGCTGCAGGCACCAGAATAATAAAAGCGAACATATTTGCCGGCAGGTTTCGACATTTTAAGTTAATTTAGGCATTAATAAAATGTTTCAGAGGAGTGATCATAGCGCTCTGCATCAGCAGCGCTGTGTCTGTCTCCCTGCCAGCTCCCAGATCAGCTTCTCTGATTGGTTGATGTGGGATGTCAAGCAGCAAAAGTTCAATTTTTCCAACTCAAACAGCTGCTGCTTCTGAAGCGTTTTGCGCGCCTCAGATGCTCAGAAGCTTCTGAGGTGGCTTCAGCTGCTCAGACGCGCTGCAGGACCTTTGCTGCGCCAAGATGCGCGTCAGTCATTGACTTTGCATGTAAACTAGCTGCTTCTGCTGCTTCTACTGCATGCTGTGTGAAAGTATTAGAGATATAAGAGGGGTGTTAATATATAGAAGGTGCTGCTTGACTCAAGTATTCTCTTTCATGTGACATTTTTCAAGCCCCTCTTGACATTTTCCTACAAACACTCAAGCACTTGCACTTCTGCAGCTGTTTTAAAAAATGAAGTGTTAATGAGCTCTTTTTTGTTGCTGGTGACATTTCCATGCTGTAAGTGAAAGCTCCACACTGACACCTCCCCTAGAAAATGCCACGTTGGTTAATGCCTCGCCGTTCGCTGGGATGTCACGGCTCTCTGAACCAGACATTCAGTCCTTTGGATCTGCTTCTGAACAGAGTATTTGCAAAATGAGATTTGAAGTGATTGAGTGATGTTTGCATGCGTTGAAGTCAGCCATGCTGCTTGTTTTCCTGCTGTGGTTAGTGAGTAACTGATGTCCTGTCATCTTCAGGAAGTCCCGTTTGATGCCCTGCGCTACATGACTGGAGAGTGTAACTACGGAGGACGGGTGACTGATGACTGGGACAGACGAACTCTGCGCACTATCCTCTCCATCTTCTACAATTCGCACATAATAGAGGACCCTGACTACAAGTTTGATGCCAGCGGGCTTTACGGAGCACCACCAGAGGGCGATGTAAGTCAGAACAATCAGCTGGTGTCAGAATAAGTCCCTGAACAACTCACTCCAATCTCCCAAGGGTCACTGCTCATCGTTTAAGGAGGTAGCGGGTGTCAAGTCGTATTATCTAATTCCTGAGAGCATGCAGTACCTCCCTGTTGTCAAAGGAGGGGGCCGCTGAGTTCTAACTTCCTTTTTTGGAATGATTATTGAAATAATCGTCAACTAATTTAATGAACGATGAATCGTTAACTGGAATATAGAGACTCTAAAACATGCCTTTACCCGACAGAGCAACTCACCTAGAGCAGTATTTATACCAAGATTGTAAAAACAAAAAATTTAAACATTTTGCATTTAAGATAAAAAACATTTTTGTATGTCAAAATGTTTTATCCAGAACTCCTCAAGTGGAAGAGTTTTAGTTTCGCCTGGTTTAATGGTTGCAAAAAGTCTTCTTTAAGGACCCTTTATCTAACCAGTTATTTATCAAGTAATCAAAAAATATTTGATAGATTAATCGATATGCAAAATAACCGTTAGTTGCAGCCCTACTATTAACTTCACCTCTTATTTTAGCCCCATTTACACTACCCTTTAAAAAACCGATCCATGCCGAGACCGGTCCGAACTCGGATCAGTAAACCAGGCCGAGCTCGGTTCTGACGACCGTTTACACATCACGCTATCTCGGTTCCTCGGTTCCTCGCCTCCTAGTGACGATCTGCGGTATTACTGCCAATATTAAAGGAGGAAATCAAGCAGTTGGTGGCGGTAATGCACCAAAGGTTGTTTGCCAACCGCCATAAAACACAAGAAGAAGATGACTTAGAAGGAGGGAATCAAGCAAATCAAAATGGCGGCGCCCGTCACATTCAGAAAGTTATGCTTGATTATTATTGCTGTACTTCGGTATTATTATTTAAAATGTTATGTGGAGAAGATTTCGATTGTTGTTTATAGTTGAAGAAGAAGTTGTTCTTCTTCTGTTT